TAGAATTTTGTGTTCAGTGAATGCAAATAGTCTAGTTGTCTGGGTTGTAGAGTGAATGAAAAGGTGTAATGTGTAAGAAGCCCATAAAAGTGGGTGGGAACCAGATTTTGGAGAGCTTTAAATGCCAACGAGAGGAATTTGCTTTTTATCTCAGAGGCTAGAGGGAGCCACTGGTGATAATATATCTTAATAATTTTTTTTTTGAGCAGAGATATATAGATACTGGTAATGGATATGGTTAAACTTAGGAGTATCAATATAGTCAGACTTAGGAAAATCACTTTAGCAGATATATGGAAAGAGAATGAACTGGAAAAGGGGGAGAACAGAGGAAGGGAAATGAAATAGGAAGCTGTTGCAATAATCTAAACTGAGGTGATAAAAGCCTTAACTATGGTAATGGCTATGTGAGTATAGAGAAAGATACAAATGTGAGAGATGTTGTGATGATAGAATTGACAAGATTTAATAACTGGTTTGGATATGGAATGTGAGTGAAAGTGAAGAGTTAAGGATGACCCCAATGTTGCAGACCTGGGTACCTGGAAAGATGATGGTGCTCTTAATAGAAAGAGAGAAGTAAGGAAGTGGTGGGGCTGTTGAAGATAATGAGTACAGTTTTGAACTTGCTGAATTTGAGAAGCTCAGTGTTTGGGAAGCTTGGTAGGAAAGTATAGGAGAGAAGAGACATTATTAGACTGACTACCAGACTGAAGGTCTACAGAGCCATTGTGCTGACCTCATTGTTGTATGCCTCATTGTTGTATACCAGCGCCATGCCAGGAAACTGAGTAACTTCCATTTGAATTGTCTTAGAAAAATTCTGAAGATCACCTGGCAGGATAGGACACTAGACACTGAGGTCCTTTCTTGAACTAAACTGCCAAGCATTCAAACTCTGCTTCAGAGAGTGCAACTCTGATGGGCTGGCCATGTTGTTCGAATGCAAAATGTACACTTGCCAAAAATACTATTTTATGGAGAACTCACACAGGGCAATCGTTCACATGGTGGTCAGAAGAAACAGTACAAGGACACTCTCATGAGAAAAAGGACCACATGAGAAAAGGTGCTGTATGAGCAAAGCAGAATTGAAACAGCTCAAAGGAAATGCAAGATGCACAGATTCAGAGAATCCACCCCAAATGCTCACACGAATTATTTGTGCCCGACCTGTGGAAGAGCATTCCAAGTTCATATTGATCTGACCAGCCACAGTCAGACACACTGTAACTTGACTATAGCATCGTGATGTCATTCTGGTTGTCTTCTCCGAGAACAAAGGGCAACAGCCAACCAACCTGGTTGTCTAAATGGAAATGTAAGATTTGCAGTTGGTAATATGGAACTGGATCTCTGCAGAGAGACTAGGGCTGGATACCTGCATAATAATACCTGAACTCATGGTTGAATTCAGAAGTGTATGTTGGCAAATATTTAACAACCAGCTCTCTGGACCAAAATAAAAACTATGTACATATGACACACTTATAAGTTTGATCTGCAGTATTAAAATTTTTCTTCCTCACTTTCACAAGTCTAAGCAATCAACCAAACATTATATCAAACTCTAATTTTGTAGGGTTTACAGATTCCCAAAGTGTAAATGTTAACACTAAAATTTAACAATCAACTCTCTGAAGCCTATAGAAACTGAATCCATCATGCTCATGGATGAGTTCATTATTGATGGAGTCATCAATAATAATGATAACAAGGCAGTTAGGTGGCACAATAAATAGGGCACTGGGCCTGGAGTCAGGAAGATCTGAGTGCAAATTCTGCCTCAGACACTAGCTATGTGACCTTGAACAAATCGCTTAATTTCTATTTGCCTGAGTTTCCTCATTTATAATAGCCCCTACATCCCAGGATCATTTTTAAAATTTTTTACTTATTTTATTTTTTAATTTATGAAATAAAACAAGCATTTCTATAACAATTTTTAAAAAGATGATTGCACATGAAATAGCAAATCAAATATACAACTTCGTATTTCTTTTAAATGTATAATAAAGTTATCATGTAAATTTCTCTTTTTTCCTTTTTTTCTTCCCTCCCTAACCCTAACCCTACCCTATAGATGGGTATCATTGGACATAAATATGTATATATGTAAAATTGTTCTATACATACTTCTATTTATCAGTTCTTTCTCTGGATGCAGATAGCATCCTCCTTCATATGTCCTTTGTAATTAGTTTGTAAAGATCAAATGAGATAATATTTGTAAAGCATTTAACACTGTGGCTGGCACACAATAGTTATATAAATGCTAGATATTATTATACTAATAGCTAACAATTATATAATGCTTTAATATTTATACGGCATTATTTGATCCTCACAAAAGCACTAGAAGTTGTTAAGATAGAAGGGAAGAAGTCCCAGGACACAGCAAACATATTCAGCCACAATTGGGAGCAGTACAAGGATGAAGATCTACTAAAGAGACAAAGGAGTGGGCTGGCCAAGACAGAAGTATGTCATGGAAGACCCAGGAGATAATATCCTGGAGGACAGAGTGGCCAATGAGGCTAAGGATTTTTTTTAAAAATGACATTAGATTTGGCTATTAGTTCATTGATCATTTTTGAGAGAGTAGTTTAAGTTGGGGACAGCTAGGTGGCACAGTGGATAGAGTACGGGGCCAGAAGTCAGGAAGACTCATCTTCCTGAGTTCAAATCTGGCCTCACTTTCAAGCTTTGTGACCCTGGGCAAGTCACTTAACCCTGTTTGCTTTAGTTTCCTTATCTGTACAATGAGCTAGAGAAGAAAATGGCAAACTACTTCAGTGTCTTTGCCAAGAAAACTCCAAATGGGGCCAGGAAGAGTCAACAGGATGGAAAAGACTGAATAACAACAAACAACATGGTCAAAGACCAGATTCCAAGGATTGAGGAGTGAATAAGAGGAGAGGAAGTTGAGGAAACAAGTATAACTAGCTATCCACCCTCTATTCCCAGGAATTTGGCAGTGAAAGGAAAGAGAGACATCAGATTATATCCTGAAGGTATCTTGGCATTAAGTGATTTTTTTATTTTTTAGATAAGGGAGTCTTGAGGAAATGTTTATTAACCTGCACAGTCTGTTTTCTGGACATGTTAGCAAATATTTCAGTGTATGATAAAGCATCTAAATCTAAATGATAGATCATATAATTTTATATCTGGAAGAGCCCTTAGAGATAATTTCTTCCAACCTTCTTGTTTTACAACTTAGGAAACTGAGTCTCAGACAAAGTGAAATGAGTTCCTTAGGTCATATAGTGAGTTAATGGAAGATCTGAAACTGGAATCTGGGATTAAAACTTCACAGTCCAACACTCCAAAATTATATCACACTTGTTGGAAATGAAACTGTATTGAGATGATACAAGTTTGTCAGCATTTATTGTTCAGGTTAATAAAACTATGAGAAATGAATGTTTCTCTCTTGTATTTAATAACTAATTATTATATTAGGTCGAAGGTTTTTCCCTTTTTCTACTTTCTTATCCAGAAACCAACCACTGTGGAAAATCTCTCCTAAAGATTTACCCAGACCAAGATATAATCAGACAGTAAAAGAAATTCTACGTTTGGGCTAATGCATGTATTCCTGCTCATTGTGTTTGCTCAGACAGGTAGATTCTCCCTTTTGTCAAGACAGGTGATATGGAAATTGATGTCTATTTGACCAAGATTTGGGTGACCTAAGTCACATACCCCAAGACCCTCATTTTAATATAGCTCACCTCCCATTGTGTCAACCAATCAGAGTTGATTGGCACCCCTCAGGAACACCTACTCTTTGAAGGGCATATAAACTGTGAGCCCACCACCATTAGAAGTCTTTGGTCTAAGAGAGATGGCCAAATGACCATCCTTTTAACAATACTGTGCTGGCCTTATTAATAAAATTATTAAATTACCCAGAAACTATATCTCAGAATTTTTTAATCTTCACAAAACTTTTAAACAAGTGAGAGACCGTGTAGTGTAGCAGTTAGAAAGCCAGCTTCAGAGCCAGGAAGACCTATATTTAAGTCCCACCTCTTCTAAATACAAGCTGTGTGATGTAGGGCAAGTCATCTCTCCTTAATCTAAGCAATTTTCTAAGACTCTTAGTTCCAGGTGTCAACCTCCAAGAGTTTGGTCTGTTTTATTTCTCTCAAAGCACGAGGCATGCACATGGGGTTGGGGTGCACAGTGTATATGTGTTTTCAGCAGGGACTGATATCACCCCATCATCATTTGACCTCCAGACCACTCCCAGCCTTGGGTTATGTAGACAAAAGAATCTGTCTCCACCCAAGCCTGAGCAGAACACAATGGAGCTTCTATACCTTTGATTAAATTACTTCTGAGCCTAGATTAGGGTTTGACCAAGATAAGGAGACTCAATGCAATCTCATTATCTGTAATGTCCTTCTGAAGAAAAACAACTTTAGAAGAAGGGGCTGGGCAAAATTCTATCTCCAAGATAATGATTACTAAGAAAAATCATTTTTCACATTGGGAAGGCTATATTCATAGCAAAAGATCCTCACCAGGAGCTCTTCAGACCAATGAAATCGCAGGTCCAATCTCTATCCCTTTAAGCAAATGCTTAGTTAACATTTACATCTGTCTGTGCACTATAATGGGAATATTAAATGAAAAAACCTACCACAGTCAAAATCTCTGAGGATTGGTAAGCGATTCAAGAAGTTAATAACAGCTATTACAAACTAGTTATCCAGAAAACATATGCATCAACTTTCTAATTTTGGAGGGAACATCTGGAATAAAACATTATTACTGCAAGCTTTTTTGCCATTGAAAAGTGTTTTTTGATTAAAAGTCTAATTCATATCCTAACTTATGGGATTTCTATTTGTGGAACATGAAATGTTAAGGCTTAAAACAAATGCATTCTTGCAGGAGAATTTAAAATCACTGGAGAAAACCTTATTTTTAAAGGCTAACGTGTCAGCTATATGTAAATATTTCAGGTGATGATTTAAAATACGGTTGAATTCTATTTTAAATAACATTTATTTAGCTGGGTATCAGTGTAGAAAAAGAATCATGTTTCTCCCAGGAGCATTTCCATTCTTACACCTTGGAAGACCTAAATGGAAAAAAAAAAAGAGGATCTTTACCTTTGATCATAAACCAGCTGTGTGGCCTGGGTGTCTAGACAAGTCATTTGACATTGACTTATAAGCACTTTCTCACCCCTAACATGTATCTGGGACTCTCTCTGAAGTCAAGGAAGGTTCTACAAGCAGAAAACAGGGAAGAGAATGAGAATTGAGCCACATGACTAGAATACTCAGCTTCATACACATAGTCCCCAGTCAGAGTATAATGGACTATGTATGATCTTTAAGTAATTCTTGCAACTTTTTCCCTCAAAGTTTTACCAAAATTGCTGCAAGACCTCACAATTTTTTTTTAAGAATAAGCAGAAAGAGAGCTGCACTCAGTGAATTAGATTCTTAAGTTGGGTAGCCATGATGGGAATTCTTCAATAGATTTTCCCTCCTCCTTTACAAATATGTATAGGCAGTTTCCACTGAGTACGTTCATGTCAACAAATTCAGCAATCATTTCTTAAGTGTTTACTATGTGCAGGACACCATGCCAAGTTCCTGTGCGCATACAAAGATTAAAATGAAAGGTTCGGCCCCATTTCTATGAGCAGGACTAAGCCATGTCGATAAATAATTAAAATTCAAGGGACAATGTTTAGTGCATAAGAGAGAACAAGTAGACATACCTGGGAAATTCAAGGAGGTAAGGATCACTTCTAGTAGAAGGCATCAAGGAAGGATTTCTGGAGCATGTGGCATTTGATCTGGGCCTTAAAGAAAACAAAGATGAAGAAGTAGCTTGTTCTAAGCTAGAGAAGGGTGAGTGCAACTGCAGAGAGATTAGAGGAACCAGGATGAAATTGGGGAATGACAAATAGTACAGTTTGGTGGGAGCACAGATTGAGCAAAAAGGAACAGTGTGAAATAAGGCTGGAAAAGTAGGTTGGTGGCAGATTGTAAAAGACCTCAACTGCAAGAACAAGTAGTTTGGATTTTATTCTATAGGCAATGGGGAGCCACAGATGGTTTTTGAGCAGATGAGTGACAAGGTCAGAACTATGTCTAAGGAGATTTATTTTGAGGGTTTTGTGGAGCAAAAGAGAAAGGGAAAGACTGAATGGGAACCAACCAGTTAAGAAGCCATTATAATGGTACAATAGTACAGATGAGAGGGTGTATACTAGAGTAGTGGGAGTAGAAATTTAAAGGAATGAATAAATTATGGTGATTTGTTCTTTATTTTCAAAGAGGACCAATGACATTATGGATTATGTTTTGATTTGCAGTGTGAATTGGATTTAAGCGAAGCAGAGTTGCACAAAGTCCTCAGCTTCACTCTCTCCTCCTGAGTCTTTGAAGACAAAAGTCAGGATGACTGGCAGTGGCCTAGGATGGAGAGGATGACCTTGGCATCTTCAATGTCTGATCAAGCTCTAAGCACTCCATAGCATCTCCTTTAGGCTTTTGTGGTGGCTGGAACGAATTGTTCTCATCCATCCGCTCTGCCAGTGGGTTTGAAAACTGATTAGATCACAGTATCATATATTAAGATGTGGAAAAGCCCTAAGAAGTCATCAAATCCAACCCCTTCATTTTATTGATGAGGAAACTGAAGCCCAAGGTTAAGCAACTTGCCCAAAGTGTCATGGAGCTAGTAAGTTTCTGAGATAGACTTGAACCTAATTCCAAGTCCAGCACTCTATCCATATGGGTGGGAGTCAAGAAAAAAAGATGATTACAAAATTTTGGGTCTGTGTGAGTGGAAGAATGGGTGTGCCATCAATACAAATAAGACAAGGGAAAAGAAAGGTTTGGGAGGAAGATGGTGAGCTCTGTTCATGAAATGTTGAGCTTGAGGCGTCAGCAACACAGCTAGGTTAAGATGTTCAACAGGCAGTTGAAACTGTGTTGAAATTGAAACTCCAGAGGAGTTGGAGATGGAGATAGAGGTTGGATAGTAATTCACAGAGATGCAATACTAAGGCCTTGGAGATGAATGAATTTGTTAAAGGAGAAAGAACACAGAGAGAACAGAGACTTGTGGCATGCTCTGACATAGGCAGCCCAGAGAGGAAGAAACCAGCATAAGAGACAAGGGAGGAATGGTTGGAGATGTGGGAAGACAACCAGGAGAGTATGGTATCACTGACGCCAAGGGAGAAAAGTGTATCAAGGAGTATGGGAGAATCAACAGGGTCAAATGCTGCAGAGAGTTCAAGGAAGAGAACTTAGAAAAAGCTATGGTATTTTGCAATTAGGATATCATTGGAGAGAGTGCTTTCAGCTGAGTGATGGGAAAGAAAGGTGTTATAGGGAATTTAGTGAGTGGGTGGTGAGCAAATAGTAGTGAGTATAAACTATTCTATCCAGAATTTTAACAGTGAGGGAGTAAAGAAAAAGGAGGAAAACTTGAAGAGATATCACAGTCAAGGAGAAGAATTATTTTTTAAAAGATTAGAGTAAAAAATGAGAAGATTAAGAATTGCTGTTAAGATGTGAAACAGAGTCAACAGAATAACTAAAAGGATTGGCTTGCAGCAGTAAAAACATAGTTGAGGTTAAAGTAAGTATTTAATAAATGCTCATTCATTCATTCATTCATTAATTGTAGTGGATTTAACACAATTTGTTTACTTCCTTACCAGACATTGGGAAGAACAGCAGAGAAGGTGCATGATGGGAGTTACTTAGTATTGGGGATTAGATTTATGGGAATAGAATGAGGTCAAAGGTGGAGAAGACCACATTGCTCAAACACCTTTCTAAGGAGAAAGACTATGAAGAAATGTAAATGAAGATCATAAAGGGAGGGGTGATGCATACCTAGAGCAGAAAGAGATTAGAGAGGTGGAAGGTTTCATGAGAATAAAGAGAAAGGTCAGGGAGAATGAGATTATGGGAGAGCTAGAAGGACAAGAGGGCAGCTAGGTGGTACACTGGGTAGAGTGCCAGGCCTGGACTCAGGAGCACTCCTCTTCCTGAGTTTAAATCCAGTTTCAGAGACTTACTGGTTGTATGACCCTGAGCATGTCACTTAACCCTGTTTGCCTCAGTTTCCTCATCCATGAAATGAGCTGTGGAAGGAAATGGCAAACCACTCCAGTATCTTTGCCAAGAAAACCCCAAATGGGGTCATGAAGAATCAGACATGACTGAACATGGAAGGACAGGAAATGGTGATCAGAAAGGAATTTTGGAGGTTTGAATCTTGGAGGTGGCAGTTTTGAGTGATAGTGAAGTCTAAGGTATGACTACCTTGACAAGTAGCTAAAAGTACAATAAAGGCAGAAGTCATGAGAGTTGAGGATGTTGAGAAACTGAGAACCTAGGGTAGGAGAAGGGCCATCTGAGTACTGAAGTTTTAGAAGATTATGGCATTGTACAGGATTCTTGCCCTCTTTAAGATGCTTCATCTTATTGCTGTCTGTAATGTAATAATGTAATGGAGAGAGAGAGAGAGAGAGAGAGAGAGAAAGAGAGAGAGAGAGAGAGAGAGAGAGAGAGAGAGAGAGAGAGAGAGAGAGAGAGAGAGAGAGAGAAAATGTGCCTTTGCTTTTGTTATTCCAAATGGTAGGATTTGAAAGCTAAGATAGAAGAGCCAATAGAAACTGAAGATTTATGAGATGGAATGACTGATGAAGCAGTAGTCATAGAAGAGACAGGATCAAAGGTATAAGATTCTAATTTTAGAGCTAGAAGGGACCTCCAACCCTCTCATTTTATCAGATGAAAAAGCTAAGACCCAGAGAGGTCTCGATGACTTACCCAAGGTCACAGAGAAATGATCTGATCTACTGTACCACTCTAGTTACTATTGGCAAGAAGGGCCATCTTTCATCTGAGATCAGAGAGAAGGAAGAGAGGCTGGATGTAGATATAGAGAGGTTTAGAGGAGTAGGATGGCATTAGCCTTCTCTGGAAAATAGGAGGTGAAGTCATCTGTTGAGAGTGAAGGGCACTGAAGTTGAGAGCTTGAGAAAAACAAAGGTTTAGAACAGCTGCTGTGGGGAATGGCATACTCCCCACAACAGAGAGGCAATAAGAGATGAAGCGAAGGATTTTCATGTAGCACTGAGGAACCATTTGAAGTTAGATAGCATGAATTTGGTGGGTACGCAGTCAGCACAGTTGCATTGATTTCCTCTAGCAACATCTAGCCATTTGAGAGGAGAAACAGAAGAGACACTCATAGCTGAGAGTTTGAATAGAAGAAATGGGGGGAAATGAAGGGAGCAAAGGATTCCAGGGTGAAAGACAGGGGATTATTGAAGCTGATCATTTATAGGGTCAAGACTAGGTATGACAGGAAATGAGGACAGCATAGTTTTTGTGGGTTGGGAAAAGTGGGGGAGGAATCTTTCAGGGACAGAGAAAATTTGTCTTAGTAAATTTGTGAAATATCTAAGTTGTTATAAATATCTTGTCAAACACATGCTCCCCTTCACAAGGTACATGGCAATCAATTTTCTTTCACACAGAGACTGCTTTCTGAGTGGGACATGCTCAGAGTAGGGATAAGCCAAAGGATATCAGTACTGCTTTTTCTTTATTGTCTCAATGTCCCTTGGACATTAACTCATCATACTTTTGCAGATGTCATTTTTTTTTCATTCTTTTGTACCTCATTTCCATGCACACCAGAGGTTTCTTTTTCTCACTGGTTCAGTTGTCTCTGCTACCACAATTGTTACTTGCAAGTCAAATTAAAGAGCAGTGCCCTAAGAGGAATTCTATTTATTGTCGCTCCAGGCATTTTTAATGGGTCTTTTTTTTTTCTGTCATAGCACAACTTCCTTAGGCAGCTCACTTCTCAACATGCTTTCTTGGTTAATGGGCTGTAACTGGAGCCCAAGGAGCCAGAATATTCTGGTGGGTAGAATAACTGCAGCATGTCACTTCAAACATTTTATAGATGATGGGTTCTCAGACAAATTGTGATCTGCACAGGCATCAGATGATTTGTTCAGAAGTAGAAGGCTGATAAGTTTTAAAATCGGAGCACGCATATCTCCCCCTACATAACTGAAGCTGAAAAGAATTCTGAAAGTTTTTTTTTCCAAAGAAGTGAAGCATAAAAGTTCCCCAGCCCTATGTTAGTCAAACATTTGAAGAAGTCATGAAAGGCCAGTGTGCACCTTTTCCACTGTGTGTGATCCAGGTTGAGAAACCTATGCTTGGGAGTAAGAAGCTAAGATTTCTGAGGCTTCTGAGGAATTAGGGGGCTATTTTGAAATTAATTTCAATTCAGAAGAAGTTCATAGATTTATAGTTTGGGGATTTTTTGAAAGGGCTGCATAGAACCTTAGAGATCAACTATTTTATATTTATATTTCTGTATCTGGAAGAGACCTTAGAGGCCATCTATCCCCAATTCCCTCTGTTTTATAGATGATGAAATCGACCTAGAAAGATGAAATTACTTGCCTAGAGTTAAATAGCTTGTCAGTGGGAAAGCAGAGATTCAAACTAAAATCTTCTGAGTTTGCATGTCGTGATAGAAAGAGCACTGTCTCTGAAGTCAGAGGCCCTACAGTTAAATCCTATGTCTGATGCTTACTCCATCTTTGACTTTGGGCAACTCATTTCATCTCCTCTCACTTTTATCATCTGTTAAAATGAGGGGGTTGGGGTTAGATGCCTCTGAGGCCTCTTCCAGTTCTAAACTCTGATCCTTTGACTCCTAGTCCAATGTTCTTTCCACTGGATCAAATACAAACTCCTCCATTTGACATTTAAAACCCTTCCCAAGTTGGCTCTAATCTACCTTTCC